TACCGGGGCCACCCTCTTGCCAACAGCCACTCTCCACCCCTATGTACAACCAGCAAGCAAGTCGTGGCAATCCCGAACACCATGGCAGTTCCCATCTCAGACCTTTCATACGTTCCCACAGTCGATACACCTGCCACTTCCCGACGATCACAACCACCCTCGTACATACGCGATTTGTCACCACAACGGTTGCTGGCTTCAGGCCCACAATGTGCAAGTTGGCATTGGAGGGGGAGTGGTAGCCGCAGATCCGTGATGGTAGGCTCAGTGGGGGGCATTGAGGTTGAGATGCTGGTAGATACGGGAGCATCGGTGACTTATATCCCTGCACGTTTTTGATATGCTTCCCCACAGGGCCCAACAGTTGCGCCCTGTACAATCGTTCTATGTAGCAGCAAATGGGGGGGAGCATCGCGATTTTGGGACAGAGACCCAAATTTGTGTGGGTGAACTGGTCATATAAGGCTCTGTACTCATCTCCAGCACGTTGACGGTTCCCTGTTTGCTGGGGACAGACTATTTGAATCAACTCCCTATCAAGATTGTAATGGACCAGGGGTGCATTGAAATGCCATCGGGGGAACGTCTCTGTTTTTTACGCCCGGACGATACCTGGACGTCAGCTCAGGTGCAGGCAGTCGTGAATGAGATGCTCACGGTGCCCCCAGCAGCACAAATATTAATTCCCCTTGGATATCGCACACATCTGGTGACGGCTCGACCAGACACACCTGTATTGGTATCACCGGTGATGGCGATCAAGGATCGACAAGCCGTAGCAGGAGAGGACACCATCCTATGTCGCCACCAAAAATTGTTTATTCAGGGTTTTAACACGGCAAACACACCTGTGACAATACATCGGGGAACGGTTTTGGCACATGTGCAGCCCATGCCAGCAGGGGGCGGAGAAGTGCAAGCTGGAATAAGGGCGCATGAAACTGATCCTGCGAGCGAGGAGGCTATGCCCTGGCTAGAAACTATGGCAGCACAGGATGCTAACTTGTCCGAGCAACAACGTCAGGCCCTTCTGGCATTTTTACAAGACTTTGAGGACATTTTTAGTAAGGAACCGTACAATTAAGGTTGCACTGATTTAATGTCACATCACATAGAGATGGGAAACGCGCCGCCTATCTGCTAAAATGAATATCGCATGGGGGCCAGTCGAGAAAGCTCACATACAAAGGGTGATCGACAAGATGTTAAGGGTCGATATTATCTCGCCATTTACGAGCCCATGGAGGGCCCCTATTGTCCTGGTCAAAAGGCCAAATGGTTCATTGCGGTTTTGCATTGACTTCTGTGGACTAAATAAGATCACAATGGAAGACGCTTATCTGCTACCACGGATTGACATTTCCTTGGATGCCTTTACGGGAGCCAAATACTTTTCTACATTGGACCTATCATCGGGATTTTGGCAGCTACCGCTGGATGAGAATTAAAAATACAAATCCCTCTTTAGGACACTGCAGGGGTTATTTTAATGTAACTGTCTCCCCATGCGATTACAAACGGCACCAGCCACATTCCAACAGCTCATGGAGTTGGTACTGACGGGACTCCAATGAGACATTTGCATGATATATTGGATGACGTAATTGTGTTCAAACGATCCTTTCAGGAACACCGGTTGAGGCTTGGTTTTTTCACATACAAGGGAAGCACATTTAAAACTCAAATCTTCGAAATTCCACCTCACACACCCTTCCGTCAGATATTTAGGTCACATAGCACAACGGGGGTAGCGGAAACCGCCAGCACACCCTGTCAAAGTTTCCCTATAATCAATCGAGGTTTCGCGAGTCAATGAGTTGGTGGCCCTTGATATATTGCGACCCCTGCCTCGTACCAACAGAAGTCACAGATATCTGCCAGTAGGTGTCGAGTTTTTCACGCGATGGCCGGTAAATTGGCCCCTGGTGAATAAAACTGCCCAGTCAGTAGCAGATGCTTTTATTGAAGCATATGTTATGGACAAAGGTGTCCCTGAAAAACTTATAACGGACCAGGGTTGAAATTTTTCTTTGAAACTGCTGCAACATCCTAGGCACTAAGAAAGTGCGCACTTCTCCATACCACCTACAAACCGATGGGATGGTGGAACGACTAAATCGCACCACCACTTCCATGCTATGTCAGGTGGTCAAAGGGACACAGAGGTACCTGGATTTACACATATGCGGGGTCCTGGCGGCATACCGGTTATCCCCGCATGCGTCAATGGGATATACTCCATTTTATTTGATGTATAGTAGGGAGCCAGACCCTCCCATTGAGCGCCAGCTTTTTGACCTCCTAGCTGGGGCTGCAAAATGGCAAATAGCGGTGCATCGGGTCATGCAGCAGTGGGAGATGGTGAGGGAGGAGGCACAAGCTGCGGCGGCTTTCGCCTGTTCCACAAATGAATGGGCTAGGCAAAACGGAGTGACACCCCTTCCCTTCAAAGTGGGAGAGTGCGTGGCTGCACTGCCCACAGGTCCCCTTGGGGACCTCGCCCAAATTGTATCGTCCATGGCAGAGCCCTGTAAAGGTGGTGGAAATTCTCATGCCCCAATGGGTCCAATTGGGACACTGACTGTCTCGGCCTTGCTGTGCGCTGTGTTGCACCACTATCCGAGTATTTACCTCGCATTCAATAAACTTTCAGAGCCAGGGTGAACATCTGACTCCAACGTATTTAATTAATTGAACGAGGTAAAACTGATGGAAAAACACAGCACAAAATACAGTATATGTTAATACTTTCAATATTGATACAATGAATGATCACAAGGAGAATAATAACATTGTCTTAGATAACATGAAACTCTACAATAGGTCCTGGATGGACCAGGCACCCACATTATAGCTACACAAGAAAATAAGCTACTGTGTTAAATAAGGTCACATCGTGTAATCACCATACTGCAGCCTAAATGTGCAATGCTGCACATAACACTGAACTGTGTATGAGATACTTCTTCATCCTTGCTCTCAAGATCGCATTAAAGTTACATGGGTACAAGTCTGGCTCAACTTATCCAACTACAAGTAACATTCACAATAATGCAAGTGGCAGGCTTCGTTGTTAACTAGGCCTCATATTTATCATAACAATTTAACAGCATTATAAAGGCATTTACAGCATTATAATGGCAATCCTAACATAACATCAATCCCAGTATTATAACATAAACGAACTTACAGCCGCTTCTTAAAGTCCCACAATGAGTAGATGAACCTGTCTTCACTGAGACGCTATTTGTGCCTCCATTTTGTACTCTGTGTAATGGCTGACACCCTGCCTCATGGCTTAGAGATTCTTAAATCGTAACTTCCTGGTCACGTGACCAATCTCAACACCATATCAGGAAGTTCCTGTGTAATCAACACCCCCATACCTGCCATGGGGCAGAACACCGACGATGGTATGTACACCTCGCCTGTCTTAAGCTGGACTGGTCGAAGCCTACCACGGATGTGCCACTACACTCGGAAGAGCACCCACTACACACACGAAAACCGGGTTGCCACGATCACCTACACCTTCACCCCTTCACTCACCATCATCACTACTGAGGTCAGGGAAGTCACTTGCTGCGACGAACCAACCTCAAAAAGGATGCCTTCCTTTCCCAGGATCGTCCGTGACCAAGGAAGTGCAGTAGAATCCGACGGAGCCGCAACTACACAGCCCGGTTACCTGGGCACGGTCCCGGGTGATGCTTCCACAGTGATAGACAACCACTGCATGCAAGACCACGGGACCGGGGATAAAAATTACACTGTCGTTCTTTCACGCCGGAGGTTGTTCGTCAGTTGTTCACATGTTACGGTTGGAAGGTCCGATTGACTCCTTGTATCTACCGTCTTGTCTTACGATTATTCGTTTGTTGATGTCTTAAATTATCTTCTGTATAGCCATGCATTCCACATCTACATACACAAAGTGACAGGACTCTGGTTGAGTTCGAAATTGCTTGTTTATTGACGAAAATACTTTTTTTTTCTCCTCTACCATCAGGGTTACCCCGAATCCCTTGGATTTGTACGGGTTATGTTTAGTCGAGGACGACTTTCTCTTCAGAGGGGGGGGGGGGGGTGATGTAGTGCTAATACTTACGTGATCCGAGGGTAGATATACTCTCGTGATCCAAGGTTACAGTGTCAGCATGACGCCACGATGAAAAGGAGAGAGAAGGCAGGGCGAGAGACAGAGAGAACGCCCAGAGAGAGAGAGAGGTGACATCACCGGGAGAGGCCGGGCAATTGGGGCGCTTCTTGGAGGGACTCGGAGTAGGGTGGACGCGTGCGGCGTGAGTTCGCGGGAAATTAAGAAAAGTGTGGGCCTTTTGACTTTGTCTGGTGAACTCACTACACCGGGTAATGTTTGTATTTTAATGTATCGTCACTCAATGTTTAATTTGTTTAAATAGAAAATGTCATAGCGGTGGAGGTTTAAGACGTCTTTGTAGCTGGTTGCTTTGTGTCACCGATGAAGTCAATGTTTCCCATCTTTAGAAGTTCACCAGAATAAATAAAGTCCAACAAAATGCAATTTAAAATATTTGCATCTATTTTATGTGACCAAAAAATAGTATATAGACAGTTACGGTTATGTGATATTCATGTACGAAGATGAATGTTTACGTTTTTACAATAAAGCTTATTTTCTCTCAACGTGCATTCAAACTTAACTACAGTGTGAAGAATAATTAATACACTCGCTAAGAACCATATTTTTCTCTTCCTATTTGTATTATTTTCAGCACATTAGCAATTAGATTGGTTGCATTGAAATGTATTCCACTCCTATCAGTTAATCGTTTAAAGTAAAATATGGTGATTTGTTATGCTTACAAAATAGTGTTTTTGAAGCAATGTTCGCTGAGACATTCTCAGCTCTGCACTGTGAGCATATCAAATTACCACAATAATAGAATAATTTCCTTCCAAAGACAACCAGGGGGAAATTATGTTACATGACACCACATGGGCATTTTCCTTCTTGGTAGGAGCACGGCACAAGGCGACGCTCGAGGGCAAGGATGTGAGGGCTTCAGGAAGACCTTTTCTGCGCCACATGGGCCGAAACAAAGCAGCTAAGGCAACCAGCAGCATGTCGGGCACCCCCACCAAGAACTTCCAGTGCCAGCTCTGCGATGTAAAGGTCAACTCGGAGGTGCAATTGCAGCAGGTGACCGCCTGTAAGGATGTGTGCATTCATCCAGCGTGGGTATCAGTGGCGCAATGGTATGCATGCTGTGCTAGCATTCTGGGTACCTGGGTTCAATTCCCCGCCATTAGTTACTACAAGTTACATACCAGTGATGCTCGCACACGTCACCCTCTTGCGTTATCCTAGCCTTAGTCCAGTCATCCATCGGTGTCAGCTCTGGGTTCGGATGTCACTGGTAAATGAGTGGACCCAGCTTAATATGCTCCCCATGTTGAGCTGGGTTTACTCCTTAATGTTATCCCACCACCACGATTACATCCATCTTTGTCTTCCTCTTGGCCTTCTACCTTCAAATTTCCAAAAGAGGATAAAGTGTGGCAGTCGGGCTCCCTGTGAGCCTCGGACTACATGGCCGCAATATGCCAACCTCCTCTGGCTGACTTAGTCCAGCATTGTTCTTTAGCAACATCCCATTTTGGATGAGTACGGTTGGCAAAGTACCATGCGAAAGATATTAAAAATACATACATTCCTTGTTATTTTTTCATCCATTCTACGCTTATCATCCGCAGCCTGAGTTGGTGTTCACAAACAGCACTTGCCCCAATCGTCTGTACAGATTTATTCTGGATGCTTGTCATTTTTTTCATCAATTGTTTCTGCATAATGTGCCATCGGTGTGTTGCTGTCATGTTTGAAGATTGTAAATCTACTCACATACTCATAAACACTGCACTCTCTGGGAACACAGAGCCAAATACCCAGCATAATACTGCAATGAACAATAAAATGTAGATAATAATGATCCAAACAATGTGTGATCATTATTCCAATAATATTCATCATACAATTTAATAAAGTAAACTTAACTTTTATTATTATTGTATAGCTATGCCTGGTGTTCATTCAGAACTATTACGTGAAATTATGTGAGCACTGAATTAATTTACATTGAGGCGATTGTTTTAATTTTCCTTAAGAGATAAACTATGTTGTTATTTTTTGGAGAATAAATTATTGTTATATTCATTTCAAACACGATGAAATGTAACCGTTAAGGACTTATAACCAAATAAAACCAAACATGTGCTTATTATAATTGCCTTGCATATTAACCATTCGGTGCGTTTCTGCATTTGAAAACATAACCTTTTATTTAATTTGCCTGCAGTCTCCGCTGCATTGTTTGGTTTGTAGCGGTGTTATGCTGCGTGTCTTTTCTCCCGCAGCACATAAAGAGTCGAAAGCATAAGGACAAGCTGACGGGAAAGGCTTCCAAATCCAAATTTTGTCCATACAACAAAGCTCAGCGTGCAAGTAACAGGAGTTCGTTGCTCGTGAGTATGCCATGGGGAGTGATGCTTGCAATTCGTGTTTTTGTAATGACAGCATGCGTGCTTTTTTGTGGCTCCTAAAAATCTCTAATAATAACGGAGACTATCAACAGAATAATTACTCCAGGTACACAAAGCCGAAACATCCAATAAAGCACAACACTTAAAAAATATATATTTGGTCGAATATATTGTAAATTACAAAGCATTGGTAGCTTATGAGGAAAACAGGTGAATTACATTGATTTTTCGGACAAAGAACCCTTAATTAATATTGATTCCTGGTATTTATAGCTATGCAGTCATTAGCCTGTGTGCCATATGTAGAAGGTACGACATGCACAGTGAATGGGAAAAAAATACTTTCAGCACTTGTTTTACGTACATGTTTCACATAGAAATTAAATGTTACATGGAAACGTTACAATCGCTATAATTGCTGATGAGTATGATTGCTCAAGAGCAACGTGTAGCTGGACTCTAATTTCATTACTGTAACTCACGCATGCATCGTACATTTATGTTCATTAAGCCTACATGCTCTGATAATTATTCTTATAAAACATGAATATATTTGTCCTGAAAGAACCCTTATTTTTAGAACATAAATCTTGTGCTTTAACAAAAAACAGTTCATTACGCAAATAATACACCGTGAAGATATTTTCTTTTAAGCTCGGCACAAATTTTACAATCATCTACATTTATGAATCTGAAATTTGGCAGGCTGGCATTGTAACTTGTTAAATAATGGATTTGATTTTAACTTTCACGATTTCCACTGTATGTGAATTTTAATCCCAATGAATGGGCTGTGCTGGCGCAGGCCTGTGATCTGCCACCTTGATGGTGGGTTAAGTCGATCATGCAGAGATCACAGTATCCGTGAAACACTCACCTGCAGGATATTTTTTGGCTTTTATAAGACAGTACATTAAGTAGCCCGCTGACACATCAGTATGACATTTCAAGAGTTATCCTCGGATTTGTGTGGGGTTTCTGCATGCCTTTCAGTTTTCTAAATAGAAGAAAATACCCAAAATACTCAATCAGGAATTTATGTGCAGTGAGGCTTTTCGGAGCAAACTAGGTATGTTATTCTTAATAAAGGTTCTTACGTTAGATCGCGTGTTGCATACTCGAAATGAAGGACGTGGGCAGGTGCTCCAAATCGAGGGCAAACACATTTATTGTGGTTAATCTTTAAAATGCAACATCACGTGTGTCACACAAAGCAATCTTCACCGAGTCGCCATTAACCACGTTACTGGTGTACACGTCTGGTTAATAACAGTTTTCTCTTAAACCCAATTCTACTACTGATAAATCATCTTTGTCTTTGACAATAACATTTACACTTCACTATTGAAATATTGCTTTAATCCTAAGCTGTATGTCTATCTATAATATCTACTTATATCGGTATCTTACACCCATTATCTGTGCTGTATGTGTACAGTATACGTAATGCATTTGTCAAAATTGTACAACTTACTACTTTACATGTGTTATATTCTCAATAGCATTGCAAGTAGTCATACTCTGGGTGCATGAGCATGGTTATAGAATAAACAGTATTAGGGTTAGAGAATTAAGAATTACAAGTATTAACTACAGTACGTCATCCTTTACAATGCACAGTGCTAAAACCCCTCCAATTGAATTCAAACTCTTTGGTTCTTTTGGTAAAGACACGTAGGTAGAAATCAAATAAAACAAATCACGACGTTTCGATCGCATCACAAGCAATCCTCATCAGATGGAACAACCACAGCAAGAAAAAATGCCGAAGTAGGCGAGAGAGCTGCCGTGGCAAGAGGTTATATAGGTAAGAAAGGGGGGAGGAGCAAGGGGGGAGAGAGAGAGGGGAGGGGTGTGGAGCAGGGGAAGAGTAGCTGCGTGAACGAGGCTGGGGGGGGAAGTAGGCGGGGCTAGAAGTGGGAAGCTGAGTGTGAGACACGGGGGGAAAGTAACTCGGAATAAGTATAACCCGTAAAAACAAAGTTTTTCACTATAAATCCTTTATATGCGTGGCGGCTAGAGTCCTCTCGTCCTCTGGCTTGAGATGGCTGCCACCTATGGGTCAGATGATTGTCTGCCAGTATTAAGCAATTGGTAATTAAATATTTAATTTGTTTTCCCTAAACAGTGTAAAACTTCAACCGAGAAGATGGATACAAATTGAGCAATTATTGGAAGGATTTTATTAACCAGGTAAAGCCTGAACTGGTTGTGGTTGTTTCCATCATGCCCGCCGGGTACTAGTCTCTTTTTCAGCTTCCCACTTCTAGCCCAAATTTTGGAAAAAAAAATTCACGAACATTAATTGTCTCGCACAACGAGTCTGTGTGCAAAATGTCAGCTCGATTGGATCACGGGAAGTGGGTTAAAAAACGACTGAAAGATTTGCACGGTCGTAAGCAAGCAAGCACGCAAGCACGCAAGCAAGCAAGCAAGCGAACTTAATATAAAGGATTTAAAAATAGACTAGTACCCGGCGGGTATGGTGGAAACAACCACAACCAGTTAAGGCTTTACACGGAGGGAAAGTAACCTTTGATAGTTTGTTCATGAAGCAATCCAGATATATAAACATAGACCTAACTTCAACCGAGAAGATGGATACAAATTGAGCAATCATTGGAAGGATTTTATTAACCAGGTAAAGCCTGAACTGGTTGTGGTTGTTTCCATCATGCCCGCCGGGTACTAGTCTATTTTTCAGCTTCCCACTTCTAGCCCCGCTTACTTCCCCCCCAGCCTCGCTTTCCCCTTCCCCTGCTCCACACCCCCCTCTCTCTCTGCCCCCTTGCTCCTCCCCCCTTTCTTATGTGTTGCGATCGAAACATCGTGATTTGTTTTATTTTATTTCTACCTACGTGACTTTACCGAAAGAACCAAAGAGTATGGATTCCTACAGTCACGAAAGCTTCATAACAATTCAAAGCCAAGCTTGAAGTCTAGAACAAGTCGAGAACAAGTCTAGACTATTTCTATAACAATAAAAAACAACCTTTGGGTCCTTTACCTGTGAGATGCAACAGCACGTGTGTCACAGCAATTCTTGAACCGAGTCGCCATAAATCATGTGACTGGTATACAAGTGCGGTTATTCAATAACCCTGCCAGCCACCTACAGGCCCAACTCAGTCATCACATGCTGCTGTACACACATGCATTGATGCACTGCACAGCACATCAGGACTTTCACAAAACCACACTTTACTCCCTTGTTGCACAAGGAAATAATTAAAAGAGTGGTCCATTCCTAATGTGCCACTTAAGTATAAATGTGTCGCAACCCTCCTCAATCCGACACGGCCAATCAGTAAGAAATGTGTCACGTTAACAAAACGCCAATGAGTTACTTCTTCAGCCCACCGGTGTGTTTGTTAATATGTCACATTTCTTAATGATTGGCCGTGTCAGGTTGTGGAGGGTTGCGACACATTAACACTTACGCGATCTAACCAAAAAACCTATAAATAATACTGGTCGTGAAAACCTACGTGTTAAACTAAGTACGTTATTGTTTTTTTCGCTCAACCGCGATGGTTTCTACAAACAGTTACTGGATCATGTGTGTGGTGTTGCGTCCCCTCGCAGGCTAAACTGACTTTCCGCAAAGAGCTGCTGAACTCGCTGGGGTTAAGCTTTCTGCAATCTCCCCTCTCGGCGGCCGCTGCTGCCTTCCAGGCCACCAATGTCCACTACACGGTGGGACTGCTCAGAGCGTGATTTGCCGCTCACAGATGAACCACAGCATTGCTGTGCAAACACTGAAACTGTTACATTTGACGTTTTATTTAAACGCCAGAAGAACTATGAACAGTTAGACTTGGCTGTATTTCTACACGCCAATGGGCGGCATGAGATAAATAGTATTAATAATAATGTTCAGACCTTTATCAAGACACTTCTGGATGACATTTTGTCTTGAGGGTTTTTTGATCATACTTCACTACACTGGTCAGGGGTGTGGCTGCAAAACAAACTCGGGTTGTCAGGTTCATAGCGCAATGTGCTATGAACCCCACAAGTAACCACCCTCCTCACCCCCCGCAAGATCACAAGTGTTGGCTTAATACATGAGTTATAACGCAATTTGATATTTTACCATAACCAATCACAGGCACTGTTCTCCGTGAATGTTAGCTAAGTGCTGTACAATTTTTTACATCTTTTAGCATGTGTATAGGCCGCAAGTGCTTGTGTTTGTGCACTTGGTGAATGTTTCATAACAGCATGCTAACACATTTTCTAGATTGTTGTGAATTTTGCAGTGTGCCTTTATTTTTACACATATGCGTGAAGGCTAGTTAATTTTTATTATTATATATAATGTTCAATAATATAACGTTTCCTTCACACAATAATTCGTCTTATATTTAAAAAAAGACATTTGTCAATAATGCTTCCTTAAAGGAAAACATTGTATAGAAAATAAATATTGTGTTATATTTAAATCAGTACAGTATTGTTAGAAATTACTTTGCGTATTGGACACTAATTAGTTGTTATTGTGTGTAATATATATTGAATATACACGAGGGAGGGATTGAAAAATCTGTGGCCCACATTTCATGAGAGTGAAGCAGCGCTCTGACATGTGGACGCCAGGCATGTGTGAAAAATGTATTTATCGCTTCCCTACTCTCTCTGCTGTCTGTACATGAACCCTGATGCCAGCTCTCCTTCCAAGCCCGACCAGCCTCCTGTCATCAATTTCTTACTTCCCCAATCTCCATTTTTGGCCAACCATCAAACAAAGATGGAGACGTCTTCACGTCCATCGTTCTGTGCATATCAACCCACGAGTTCATTTAGAAATGCATTATATAATAATGAAATGCAGCCACTCGACTGCACATAAATCCTTTACAATTCGGAAGTGCTACATATTTTGGTCACTGCGCCGCGCACTTTCAGATGCGCTTTTGCAGCCATCTGAAACTCTCTTCCTTCCGATATTAGAAAGCCATTGGAGCTATGCACTTTAAAATCTCGATTGAAAACGAATTTCTTTAGGCCTGCTTTTTGTGTTTAGTTTAGTCCTTCCCCCGCAACTCTGGTTAGCATAGTTGGCTACGTATGGTGCAATAGAAGTTCAACATAATACATGTACACTTCCTAACAGTGAAAGTGTGTAGCATTACCACGTGAGCATGCTTGTATCGGGAAGAAACATTTACTAATATTTCAGACAATTTTTATGTACTGTGTACGGTGGTTTAACGGCATTAATATAGTGAGGGTTTAGAGCAAATCTTGGTGAAGCGATATGAAATGTGAGTTTTACTCAGTGACAAATATAACTTGAACTTTGAACCGACAGGGATTAGAAACGAGTATTAGGCGGCCCACAGCAGGAGAGCCACAGCAGGAGAGCCAATCACTTTTCGTCCTAATGAGCATTCATCATCTGGGCAGGGTGGCCTAACAATGCTTGTCAGTGGGTCAAACTTACCTCGAAAGAAAGAAAAATTACACTGCATACCCACGTACGGTACGTTGCTGAGCTTAGTGAGCTTTTCTTCTGCAGGCAAAGCTGGACTTCCACGAGGACCTGACCAGGTTACCATCCGCCATGACAACAGGTTACCTGCCGTCACCCCTGGCGGCTGCCACTGCTGCGGTTGCCATGAGATCACCGCTGACTTTCCACGCGGCGCCCGCCGCTGCCGCCAGCCTCTTCCCAAGCCACGGTTTGGCACAAGCCCTGCTGAGGCCAGCGCCGGGGCCCATGCGGAATTCTCACGGGCCAATAATTTTCACCCCCTATTGATCCTAATTCATCTTGACCGAGGTTGGTTCACGCTCTGCTCATTCCAGCGGACCGCCTTTCCCTTCTTGTTTGAGAATCCGAGGATTTGGTTACCTGTACGGTGTCGCAAATGCCACTACGTACAGCAGTGCGACTGGCATCTTGCTCGCACGGGTCACACCCAATGACTATCCCTGACGTTCAGAACACATGAGAAAAGTGCAACTTGTGGAGAGTGGAACTTTTGAATTGTATGCTCCTTTGGTCCCACGACCCTTAAATCTTACTGGAGATTAACATATCTACAGGCTGCAATGCAGCATGGAAGTCTGTCTGGTGTGTGCCAAGTGATGGTGCGTGGCACAGCGTGTGCATATGACTGATCCGTGGACAGAGGTCACAAGGAGCCATGATGATTTCTCTTGGGTGTGCCCTGCTCAGATATGTCTGCTTTTGTCAATATGCCAACTGATCCTGGGACTTCTTATAGAGCTGCAAAACGAGTGTGTTGTCCAGTCACACAAAACGACTGCTGTTGTGTTTTCTGCTGAAATATACTTGTGCAAAATTTGAATGTGATCTGCATAGCTGTGTTTCGCTGACTGTACCATTTGCAAGACTGTGGCGAAAAGATATCCATGTTTACAGTTTTTCACAGCTTATCCTGCAACCTTATATGATGTCTCTGTGATTCTATTGTACTGTATTGTAAAAAACTACTCGAGCTTTCCTGCCATACCAAATGACCTATTACAACGAGCTGTGCTACTATGGCGTCTGGCAGATGACGCGCAAGACAAGGTGACATTGCATATCCATCAAACATTCTCATATTTGCTTCATGCACCAAGAGCAGGAAATGACAGTGAACCCATGGGAAAGTGCATATACGCTGCAAAATACGACAATGTATACAGTACTCCAGTGTACCTCAAGGGAAGTTCTATGCTGAAAATATATTCATTAAATTTCTAGAACATGTTGCTGAATATAAATGTAATGGAAATACTGTTTAAATTCGGCATTGCATGATATGACAATAACAGAGGTATTGTTAAATCGTCCAGTCATTGAGAACAAATTCATCAAATTGGCCACTTCCTCGAGCCATGACGGGAAGATTAATGTGTGTAGGGACCCACACAACAAGCGGTGGTGGCTCCTGGTTTGTCTCAGAATACTCGATCTGAGCGTAAAACTGCATTGGCAAAAGCACACTAAGAGATGTCCAAAATGACTGCTTCTGAAGTCATAAAGAAATGCAAGGTGTTCTGCTATTCTATTAATCTCTTAATGTTATTTTACGTTGTTCATTTGGCTGCTATGAGTCGCTGCGTGTTGCATACATTTGGTAATGGAGCAGATGCATTTCTTGACAGACTTTCACCATTACTTTTGTCAACAATAATATGTGTAATATAGAATTTCAACATAATGTGCATTTAATTTGTATTGGCAAACAATGGAATATTCGAACCATATAAATTATCAATTGCAATGTTATGTACGTTTGTGTGTTGCGAGCAACGTTATTGTATATTGGGCATTTTCATCATCAAATCGCACTGGAATAAGCCGGTGCTTTGCTCAGTCACTGCAATAAATAACGTGTCATTTCTATTTCCATAATCTGTCTGCGTCTTATTTTGTCTCGTGCTTTCCCATCTCGTGATCTTTGTTTTATTTTGGCAATGGTCATACATTAAATAATGTGCCATCGTTGTCGACACAAATCCACATCTACCAAGGTAAAACTCAGAAGCATGAATTTGCGTTGACCGTATTTCAATTTGGCAAGGCTTTGCTCTATTAACTTCGAGAGTTTGTGCAGCTTTTTAGCATAGATGTCACTTCGTTTAAGATTTGTACAGCTAAAATACATATTACCCAACTGTTATTGTCACTTGCTAAGATAACTGATAGTATGGCGCACGTAAAATGTAAATGTTTGCTCCATGTACATTTTTTTATTTTGAACATGAAGCGATGTTTTTATTTTATATTGCATTTTTATAATTTTCCTTGCTAAAAAATAGTTATTTGATGCAGTTTGGATGTTTTGTTTAATTCAGCTTTTTGCCAGGAATTTAAGTTTAGCCACAGTACACATTACATATTTTCTTCAGTTAATTTATTTTACAGGTAAAATATGAAACAATTTCATACTTTAATGACCAAAAGAAACCACTGAAATCCTACTACACATGTAGATGTAACATTTAAAAAAAACAGCACAATGTAATATGTATGCTTATTAAAATACTTTGCTGTATATCAAAAGCAGTAATGAATGTTTATATTATACATGAAGATGCATTCAGCATGTTTCCCACAATTTAATTATATTGTTATTAGCTGTAACTTTACACACGAGTACTGATAATCTGCTTTGGGGTAAATATATTTTTTCCAATGCAATAGGGTTTTTGTTATAATTACAAGACGCCACTGGCGTGTGTGATATTAATTAAATTGTATTGACGCTGAGCTGTTTGTTTTTGCCTTCATCCTACAGTTTTGGCAAAACAAAACAAGCCGTACTAAAAGTAAATGAAACAAAATCAATTGGAGAGAAAAAATATGTAAATGCAATCTGGTCTTTCGATATCCAAGGGTAATGTCTCCCAGGAGGGCAGTGAACGCATTTTGTGAATGAACCCCGCCTTTAAATCGATGTTGTTGAACAGGCGAAAGGCATTTTTTTGTTACAGCACCTGGCTCGGTTGTGTACTGCGAGGATTTGCGTTTCGGGACAGTCCAGATGTTCGAGATTATATGCTGACAAAAGCCCATTACGGTATTGTACCTTTCATTATGACATCATGTGCAACTTATTATTGGTGAAGATGCAATATATAAAAAAAACATTTATAAGATATCATTATGCAAATAGGCATTGTGTTTTTTTCACAACCACAACATTCTAGTGTTAATAATATTAGATCGCAGTTTGAAGAAAATAATAATTAAAGTTTCTTCATATATTGGCCATCATTCTGTAATTTTTCTTTCGGTGAAATGATAGCCACTTTATAGAAAATCAGGAACAATTAATGACATTTTACGATTCATGTGCAGTCTATTACTTCTCATACCACAATTATGAGGTGGAATGTGATCCACTAACCATTGCATGTACACTGATGGATTGCAGGTTTTATGTAAACACAGCAGGCAACCCATTTCAAGCTGAGTCGATCTAGGAGAAGCTTAGCCCAGGTTCTGACACCACATTCCACTGATGAATGTATGCTGTGCCAAGTAATATATAGACACAGGCAAACACAAAGATACAAAGAAAAAACGCTTTTAGTCATACAGACTTTGGGCAAATAATGTTAGCAAGCACCTGTTATGGCCGGAACGAAAGGTTGGTATGGCCTGAAGTATTCCCGTCCACCGTTGTCTCCCCAACACTGATGTTTAAACATCCACGCCAGTTTCTTTTTTGAGGCTGAATTGGCCTAGGGGAGGACCAGGACCAACTGAGGAAAATCACTACTGATGTTAGGCATAACTGAGAGTCTAAAGGAGTGAGTCTGAGATATATGGAGCCAGAGTATGTCAGCAAGGTGAGCATGCTCACATCAGCACTCACGGCTCCCGCAAGCTACTGATTGTCTTCACGTGGCTGTGCAAAATGCGACTCTACCCATTCCAGCATTTCAAAAAGGCCCAATACTGTTCAATCAATTAGGAATCACAAAAAGGTTATCCAGTTGACATCGACATTTTGAAAGAAAGTGTGAAAGTTTTGAAAGAAAGTATCTACTATTAAAACTGTGATCGTCAAAACAACGGGTGTTTATGCATTTATGGACATTTTATGTGAGTATTTAACGACGTTATATGAGCGAAACGCGGTAAAACACGATCAGCAATTTAAACTACAGTATACATTTCAAGGCCTGTATATTAAACATAATGTGGGCAAAAAAAATCTTCCTCCATCACTCATTTAAAATACAATACACGTTCACACCAATCAGTGGTGACTTCCTATACACACAAAACATACAAACTTCATAGAAGCAGGCTTGCCACGAAATAGGTGTGACATTTTGATGCAATTGACAGTGAATGTAGGCATGGAAGCAAGAAAAGATTAAATCGCACCTGATTCTTGCCTACCATGATTTTTTTTAAAGCTATACCTAGTGAATGTACAGTAAAATAAATGTTTGTCATATTTAGCGAATAACAATGGTGGGACAAGGTTATGTGTTTCAAAACATATTTGTTAATGTACCAAAAATTTAATCGTTCGTGTAAAATGCTCTTTAAATGACCCAATTAAGTGGATGACATTTTCCTCCCCAAAGTAAATTGTGCAATTTTCTTTGAAATCCACGTGACAGCTCTGGCGGTCCTCGCAGGGCTAAATTGGTTGCTGCGTCCTGCTGTTCAGTTGACAGACGAACGCGTCTGCTGTTGACGCACTGAATGCTGGCTTTCAGCGTGTGTGCTATAAATAGCACACCTACGCGGCTAATGTGCCATAAAGTGCCTGTGCGTGACACATGCTGCACATTGAAATGCTCCATTCCTCTCATGTTGCGGTTATTACAATGGGAATTATGTGCAGTGTTCATGTCTAGGGGATGAGATTTGAGAGTTATTCCACTATTTATGCTTTCTGCTACTCAACACGCCTCTTTTGTTCAAGCAGAAAGGACGCGGCGATAGAATGCCATTGCCTAATTCCGCTCCACCATATGCAATCCTGTAGGATAGCTGGTACTGCAGTGCAAGGCAGTGTTGCAACCTTCTTCAGCGATCCCTCGCAGTCCAGGATGATTGTCTTCCGTAAATGTTTTGGCTGACGAGGCCAATCTGGGATCGTCAGACTCCTTCGCAGCTCGGGCGCGTGTTTCCGAGCAGGGATGGGTGGCCCAAGGTTGTTGATTCGGTCCTGCTGTTCCCACTTTTCCTCCCATTGTCGTAAGGTTTCTCATAGAAAGCTGACATCGACAATGACATTCGACATCACCTCAAATGTGCAAGCGCAGCCTTCAGTTGCTTGAGGAAACGGGTAGAACAGGTGTTCGAAGATCACGACAACCACCCAAGCAGTTATGAGACAAAATAAGCGTTGTTGTGAAAGGGCATTTGTGGTGCCACGACCGCGGAGCAACTCCGCAAGCGCCGAAATTCCCTCCCAGCCCCCGCACTAAACACACACCTGCACGCAGTCCACCCAGGTAGTGCCCTGGCGAGGGATTGCCTGGCCCATCGGATTTTAATCCGAAGGGCCCCTAGAAGGAGAGTCCCACGGTTTCCCGGTGTTAGGAGATTGGACAACCCTCACAGGACAGGTTACATTGTGGTGCTCCTAAATTGGATTAAAATTGTATGGGCGCAGAAAGAAAAGGTTCCCTGGGCCAACTGCAATGAGGTACAACTCAAAGGGGAGAACGGAGGATGGAACATTGAGCAAGAAGGGCACAAGAGCCCTTCCAGACAAAGGGACAATGAGTGGTCACCGCCGTGGAATCTCTACCAACGGCTCTGGACCTCCAATAGAGATAACCATTTCTTATTCGAGGAAAGAAACACGTAAACACTATGTACAATACAAGATTAAACTGGTGAACAATTTGTTAAACTTACAAGCAACGTCACGCTTTCTGCATTCTCAACATAACCTTCAAATAATGCCATGTACCATAGTTGATTTCATCAGGATGAAAACGGAAAGCTATGAAATAGTGATAACCGCACAGATCTGAGCTACACACAAATGTACTGCCGACATTTATTCTTAGATTAGCACGGTTGGTTACATATGGTGTGAAAGAAGTTCAACATACATACATAATACTATATTTAACAAATAAAAATTGCCAATAGTATTTCAGGCATTATGAATCGACATACAGAGCAGTAGTTGCACCGATTCAGAGAGAGTGGGACTGTTCATACATTTTTCTCAGTAACATATAACACATTTACACATAGTAATACAGATTTGCAATAGTTTTGGACCAATCGCAACGGCCCACTGAAATAAATGGTAGCACTACAATAAAACTTATGCATGTTCATTTAAGCTCATAGCAACCACAGCCACTTTCTGGTAGTGAATTGGGAAAGTGCTATTTGGGAATTTGTGTATGTCCATTGCATGCTTCACAAATGTCAAGTCTTTAACAGGCACATACTGTGAAGTGTAGGAATGAGTGTGAGGGTTCACGCCCCATTTTTAAATGCTAATCTAGCCTTTACATGTATTATTTGCATAATACTGGGCAATGACATTGACTTGTGTTTGTTCTGCAAAGCAATAGGATGCATTTACATGGTAGAAAAATGTAATTGGCTAATGGCGGTTGTGAATGTGCATATTTATACAGTGCAGTGATACATGTATTATAATTAGTACATTTGTAGTGAGCGACTTCCGAGACACGTCGAGTAGAAGGCGATACTATACGTAATACAGCTACACATAGGCGATCCTAACACATAGCCTATCTCCGGCATACATTACGCTAGCTGTCCGACGAGCACAGCGATGGCGATGGAGAGGGTCTTGCAGAAGAACAGCCACGTGGTCGGAGACGAAGAGATGACGACGAGCAGCGACGCAGCCAGGACCCAGGACCCGCAACAGCACCCGAACCTCTGGTTTGGCCCCCCTTATATGCGCCCCGGCGTGGCCAAGCCCCGCCACCCTTATAATAAGGCGTTACATAATACTCCCATAAACGCAATTACCCCTTCAGGCCGACAGATGTCACCCTGTCATTACCTTACCCCCCCCCCCCCACCCCCTGTCATTACCTTACCCCCCCCCACCCCCGTGGTTAAAAGATAGCCGTCCCGGCTAATAATAATAACAACGAAATGCACACGAGGCAGGGGAAGAGTTCTGCCATAACTAGCATCAACATAATAGCATGTTTTAGAAGAGGGCAGAACGATCGGCAATGAAGGGGAAGGAATAACTCAGCACAATGCAGGTGTCGCGGCTTCCGTCTCGGTCAACGACTCCGCGCGTTTGGCGAGGTCACGGGTCCCGTCATGTAGGGGTTCAGAAGCTGTGGGCGGCACAATACAATCCTTCTGACGCACACTCTCCATTGGCGCCTC